ATTATTATTATTATAAATAATGATAAACTTGGTGGTAATGTTCATGAGATATCTTCATTTTTTCTCTCTAAGCTGGCTTTTTAAAAACAATAATTATTGTTATGTTGCTGTTAGTATATCGATAAATTAATCATAATCAGTCACTCTCCTACACATCATTCTTACAGTTATGTTTTTTAAGACACAGAATCGCCTAAAGAGACATTTTGTTTGTCCCCTCCTGTTTCTGCTCACCTGCATCCATCCTGCGTAGCATGAAAAGATTCCAGCTTGTGAGCCAGGTAACCTGGCCTGCCTAAACTCTTGAAAAGGAAAAACACTGAAACACGAAAGTTGCTACAGCTTATGACCTGACGCTTACCTCCACCTCTTGTTGTGTATGGGCCAGCTATGGTTGTCTTGAAAGGAGTGAAAGGTTCATGATTGCCAAATTGCCAAAATAAGAACAAGCGCTCCCAGACATTGGTTTTGAGTTATGCTAAACACACAGTATATATTTTCAATCTTTTATTAAAGCACCATATAATTCAGAAAATGTCAAAAATGTATCGTTGAACAAATTTCAACATCGTGCAGAATAGGCTTTTCAAGGAATCAGTAAAGTTTGGCCAGCTCTCCTTTACAATGGTATTGTTAAAAGATTCTGAATTAGGTAACTTAAGCTTTCTTGTTATAGGGGCTTCATATTTTAATAAAAAATCGTTACATCACTTGTCATACAATTTCTCTTCATTTCAATTATGCTTAGAAAGACCACAAATATTCACTTCATTTCATTGAAACACTATTGCTGTTTTGTAGGTTTTGAGGAATAATGACATGTTGAATAAACAAGGACAATCACCTTCACGAAAAGTTTTCCAAACACCTGGAAAGAAGAGAGTTAGTTTAAATTCTACACCTGCCTCAACCAAAAAAGTAAACATTGCACTTCAGATGAATAAATCACAAGGTAAGTACTTCTATTAAGTAAGGAATTTAATTTCAATATGTCTGTAATGTATGGAAATTACAAGACATACATTTTGAGTATTATTGTGTATTTTTTTATTGTTATCAGAATCTGAAACATACTAATAATAAAGTTTCGTTTCAGTGCAATAGAAATTGAATGTGACAGAAATGAACTTTGTTCAATTGTTTTTTCAAACCTGTCTTATGGTTTTAATATTGAAGCTAGAGAATTCTCTTACAGTGCTAACAAGTTTTCAAACATTTCATTTACCTACTTTTTTTTTTATTTCTGAATAAGATTAGTGAATATATTTTAGAAAATTTTCTTAAGTATGTAATCAAATTGAGCATTTAGCATTGCAAGGAGAATAATTTGTAATTTGTGTTAAAACTGTCATTTCAATATTACAGTATGATATTTATCCTTTTGTATTTGGTTGTCAGCTCCATTGGGATTTCTGTGTTGCAAAATGTATATGCCAAACAAATTCAGCACCCATTGTTGCTTTGGCAATGTCATGATAGCAAGAATAGGGGAACTAATTAGGGAAAATTTTAATAGCAATGTGGCCTATTAGTTTATGAATGCCTACAGCTAAAGTGTCCATTATCAAAAAAGCGTGTGAACTAAAATGTCTACCAGCTAAACGTCTACTAGCAAAAATGTCTATCATAAAAATCTTTTGGAGAATCAAGTAAAGCATAAAATAACATTTACCGACATTGAAATGGCAGCCATAAATTCCATGTGAATATATTTTCCTTAAGCTCAATTGACTGCTCTTCACTTGTTCATTTTGTTCAATCAGTGGGTAAATAGTTGGGAACACATGTCTAAAAGAGGCAGTCTAAGTGACTCAAGAGCTGCCCTTTGAGGATCATGGCTTTCAAGATTTTAAAATAAATTAAAAAATGGGAAAAAAGTAATTCGAGGTTAGTTTAGAGCAAATGGAAATCTTGGTGCCTAAGTATGATGAATATTGAGTGCGTAATGATATACTTGCCAAGTTTGGAAGTTCAAGTTACCGCATAAAATTGCAAGCAGGTGACACAGAAGAAAATTGACATATTTGTAATTCCACACAAATTTATTGAAAATTTGTTCGATTTATATACTGCATACATGTTACAAATAGTTTAAGTATGTCTCTTCACTTCTTCTTTCTGAAGATTTATAGGGTCTAGCAAAGTCTTGCTTTCTCACCCTTACTAACGTGGAAGAGAGAGGTAATTGTACACCAGAGAACAGCGAATTTTGACACAAAACTCTTTCTTTCCTAGCCCTGGCAACGAGAAAGGGGATAAATCCCCTCGCTAAATATATGGAAAATATTCCTCTTAACACATTTCTAAATTGAGTTTCGTGCGTCCTTGATACCGAAAAATCAAGTGACTGCAAAACGACTTTCCGTTCATGCACAACGCTAGTACATAAACTGTACATCCGATTTTTTCCAAAATTGATATTCACCAATAGTTTTGACAGGTGTCAAGGCTCCTGGAATTTAAAACCGATATTTGAATTTTGGGGATACTTTACATGAAGCCGTCCAGGTATTTAAAAAAAATTGCACTTTTTGGCAACAGTGCCTTGCTCGCTTCTGTATAATTTGCTGTGAATATTGTAACAGTGAAATTCATTTCTCTTTGTTTCATTTGTAAAAGTAAGAAATGATTGCTGCTCCTGACTATCAAAATAAATGCAGATATGCATCACAGCTAATGCTTGAAAACGTTCAATTCAAACGCAGCAACTATGTTGCAATATTTCAATATCAAGTAGCTGTTTCCAATATTGTGAGAATGTGTGCTGTTGTAGCACCACTAGTTTCATGATTAGACATTTTTGCATGAAGACTAGCATGATAGATAGACATTATTTACTATGTAGACCTTTTTTGGTAGATGATGTGTCTTAAGACCTTGAATATTAGATATTGTTGATGTTGACCTTTTTTCTGTAGACCTATTGACCGATAAAACACAGATGAACAGCAAATAAGCAACATGCCATGCATCAAGTTGCACCAGCAGATTTGTCCATGCTTAAACAAAAACGTTCTTTTCTGACATTGAAAAATGGAAAGTCTGTGATGTTTTCAAGTAAGGAACATTCATTCCATGCAAGAATATGGCCACTTTTAACAATATCACAAAAATATTTCAATTAGCGAGAAGGGAGTGGGTGCTGCAGTTTATAGACCCCAGAGTATTGTAATTTTAATGAGAAAATTTGTACATTTCTCCAAAATTGTTTGAAAAAAGTCCTGATTGTAAAATATTAATAATAAACCTTTTTGTTAGCCTATAATCATTTTTTCCATCTTGTGGAAAGTTTACTTTGTGGCAGGTTCATGTTAGCACTTCAATTAATGAATGGTATTATCTAAGATATTCATAAAATAGATTTTGCTTATTACATCTGATTTTAAATTTGCTTTATCTATGCAAAGAAAAGTGGCACTTGATAACCAAGCACAGAGCCATTTTTTATATTACTTTTTGAAAAAATTCTATAGTCTGAGAAAATGATTACATTTAAAGATGAAGTATGCACAAATTGTTAAAAAAATTCAAGTAATGAATTAGATATTAATGAATAGTGATAGACCAATTTTGTATTCTTTTCAGCTAAATTTTTTGAGTAATTGTGTATGTTGGAAAGCTAACAAAAAATGTTAAGCATACTGTGAATATAGATAGTAACTGTCTTGCGTATGGTCCTCTTCTTTTGATTTTCAAAGTTTTATTTTTGACCCCATCAATAAGGAAATCTATACTTCTTTTTGAATATGAAATTATGAGAAAGAGCAGTGGAAAGACCAGTCATGAAGCTTATCCCAACTGTAGAGCAGCATTATCGTTATTGTATTTATGGTATTTGTATCAAAATATAGCTCATCCGCTAGTTTTTAAATAGCTAAGTAATCTACTTGTCGTAATCTAATAAGAATGAAAGACAAATTAAGTCCAGGAAAAAGGTTTGTAGGGTAGAACCATAAATTAGTTGACCCTCATTAACATTTTGAATCAATTATTTACAGACATTTTATTCTTCGGTTTTCTGTCTGTAAATAATTGGTTCAAAAAGTTAATTATTATATATAGATGTAAACTAATCTACAGTTAATTTACCATCTCTGTCTGGCCAATGAATGTTTTATAATAATTCTTTCATTAGATTTCTGTTCTTCACAAAGGTAAAATTTTGTATATTTTTCAAATTATAATTGTATGCAATTTAAAAATGCTTTTCTCTTTTAGCGGTTTCAGAGTACACTGCTGCATTGAAGTTGAGTCCTTCAATCCCATTTGATGCCAACAAAATGCCTTGCAAAGGAGTATTGAAGAGAACATCGATGAGAAGTCCCATTAACCCGTTTTATGTACCTTCTTCAAAATTGGAATAAAATTCTTGAAGAAAATCCTTCAGTTGCTGCTTGTTCTACAAAATTCCTGGTGTTTGAAAGACCTTTCCGTAAATTCAGATTGAAGAATTGATATTATTTTGTTTTCTTTTGGAACATGTTTTACCTGATAATGCAACTGCAAACATGTAAATATATTTTTAATGATATCAGTGCTAAATTATTTTTTTGTCTTCAGTATGTAGTTCAGTCTTTTGTGCATTTAATATTTTATTGTTTTTTGATATTACTTTGCCAAGGGGTTATATATAATTGCAGTTCGCATTTCAAATATTGTTATTAGAGACAAAACGTTCATAGTTACATTTAACATTTGTAATTTATGCTAGTAATGTTTCGTGATACGTCACTGAAAATATGTTGTAGATTTATAGTTATTAAAAAAAATCAAAACATATTTTTTGTATTGTGCATGAAATATCTCAAAGCTTCTTCATGTTTTCATTTGTCATTCAAAGATCAACATGTGAAATGATCTTTAAAATTCGTACGAAAATGTATGTTAATACATGATTAAAGCTCTAATTTGTTAAATGAAGATCCATCTCTTTATCTTCAACGGATTTTACCTCTCGGAAATCCGTGCATTGTATACGATCTGCGGTTGTAGCGGCGTGACGTCACGTTGTTCGAAGGTCGGGCGGATTGTTACGTCGTGTTCCGCAGTCGCTCGATCGCACTGGCAAGAGAACGACGCGAAACATGAGGCTTCTTTTCGTCTTCGGCGTTGTGGGTGAGTAATTGGCCACAAATATTTAGCAGAACGACGGGTCAACACTCACGTTTTACTCAAGACTTACTGTTTGAAGAATTATCTCACAAGACATTTTAGAGAGAATACTAGGATTCGGACGATTTTATTGCTTACAATGATTCGAATAAGTAAGTTGATCAATATGAGTACCTATACCCAAATTGAACCCGCAAAATGTTACACACTGGAACTCAAAGCGGAGTGAAGCTGTGGAAGGATTGTAATTGGTAAATGCAGTCTATTCGTAGTAATAGCAGCACTGTAAAATATTTGAATATTATCTCTCTCCACATTTAAAGGCATTTTTAAGTTTTAAAATTGAGCCAGCGCGATTCCTGAAAATTATTTTCCAAATTCATCCCAAGCAGCAGCGGGGACGTGACAAGAGATCATCCTAGTGTATTTGCAGCACACTGTCTTGCTCAGGAACATTTACTTGATCTTGTGAATGAAGCTTTGGACTACTGTATCGCTGACAAGAGCCTGGTTAAGTTACGCCACAATTTGGCATTAGGGCAAATAGGAGTATGAAAATGATATTTAACAGTCGCCTTCCAATGCCGTGCATGTGTCCGGAAAATACTGATGTGGTGGTGTGGGGGCGGTTCGCCGGATCCTAGAGTAAATTTGCAATAAAATTGAAGGATTTAATATTTGAATATTTAAGAACGAATGCCTCATTAATTAAAACGTATTCCAATTGTCTTAAAGTTAGTATTAAAATATTGTCTGATTTGACTCAATGTGTAAAGGCCTTCATTTTCAATACTTGCGGTCATTTCCGCGAGGCACATATGGCCATGGTTGAGTTTTCCCTCAACTAGTTCACTTCGTTGCTATTAATGCACAACTTTTCTCTTCATGGATCCTAAAATAAGATTGGGCAGACATGGCTGTAAGAGATTCCCGGAGCCTTCATGAAGCAATTACTCGTGGCGTTGGTTTTGAAATATTTTGTAAACATCAGATAGGCACTTAAAAGACATAACTCGGGAAGGTTCTAATAAAACAAGACCAAATGATGAAGCAGTAATCCTCCCCTAATCAAAGATATAATCGCTGCAGCCCCCTTCTCCTTCCCTTCATTGGTCGTGAATAGTAACGAAAGCTATCCCTAGGATTTTATCCAATTAAAAAACATTTATGGATATTCCAAGAGCGCAAACGTCTGGCACGTCTTGACGTCTCTTCTATGAATTGTTGCTTTGTAGGCTTGCTTCGTAAGAAGAGAAAGTATTGTAATCGTTCGCCAAAAACCTGAATTTTCGGGAGATATGTTTATTGTTGCCCTCTGATAACGAAAAAGTGGATAAATCATGTTACTGGGTATAGTAAATTACTTTTTACTCCAATTTGTTTCGTTTATTTCTTTCCTTTTAGCAAAATACCCTTAAAGAAGACGTTTTCAACGTAAGCTTGATCGAATTCAACCGCTGTCTGGAGGAGAATTCTATCTGCCGGCTCTCTCATCGGTAGTTTTCCATGTTTTCTCGGGTAATTTCCCTGTTAAAACCGGAGCATTTTCCTAACAAACGTGCCAAGAACCGCTCGCGATCTTCCCTTCGTCTGCCTTGCCCTGTCGACGGGTGCTTAGGGCTTGCCCTGATGGCGGGAGATACCTGGTTGGAGAAAACCCGCCAGCTTACGGTAGGTCAGCGCTGGACTTCATCCAGCGGGAGAAAAGCACTGCCACCTTGGGAGAGAAAAACCGCACACTACACTTATGGGGCTTAGCAGTTACGCGCCCGGAATCACCAATCAATGAAGACGTTCGACATATCTGTAACTACAACAATGATTTTTTGTATTAATGAAATCTGATTATCGCTAATATCTTAAAATAAAATCATGACATTTTGCGTGAAACAAGAACTTTTTGAACTATTATGTTTACAAAAATGTCTCCAAACTGGTTCTCCGCATGTAGGAAAGAATGACAGAAATTGGTCAACGCATTTTTGTTGAACTCTGAATTTTCGAAAATTGTAAGAGTTAAAAATTTTTTTTTCGGCCTTTCTACAGCTACAATATTTAATCGTGCCTTGTGGAGCTTTCTATAACAAAGCGCCATGTGTGAAGGTAACCAAAAACGTTCCTAAACCTCATTAGAAAATCGCTGTGCACGCACAAACACCTTCAGATTGGAGAAAAGATGGTAATTCGAGGGTGCCAGGTTCGCGAAGTAGGGTGGGTGAGACACAATGTCCCATTCAAAAGAAAGGAACAGATCCTGAATAATCCGAGCGGTGTGGCCTGGCGTCATGAAGTGACACTACGAGTCAGCATCCCTCTTCGTTTCTCTTTGATTTTTTGTTTTAACTTATTTAGGGTGTCACAATATATACTGCAGCATTAATGGTCGTCCTTTTGGACATGGAATTAACCAACAAGTTTCCGTTCCGGACCCAAAAGACGGATGCCAGAATTTTCCTCTGTTAAGTTACACAGTGAATGTTGAACCTTGAATTTTTTGTGATGACGAATTGTTACGGTACCACTGCAGAGAATGTTTTGTTGTTTTTTGTCTCTTGATATATGAATCAGTCGTTTTTCTCAAAAATGACTTACTCAAGGGCGTGTTTTCAGCAAACGCCGATATCTATAACCACAACACTCGACATAGTAATCATATTCATCAGGTGACAGTATCAACAGCTCACTGCAAAAAAACACATAATACATGTTCATTATTTTACATCACCATGTCAGATGATATTAAATCATTAAATTCTATATAAAGGTTTAAGTCCCAAGTAAAATATTTTCTGCTAACAACTGTTTCTATTCAATTAGACACTATACCGAGCGTCCAAAAGGAAAGTAATATTAATTTTAACAATGACATTTAATGTATTATTTACCATTTGGATTGTATAATTCTAAAGAACCTGCAAGAAGTATTGTACTTCAGCTTCTGGGTCAATGACCCCCATCTCGTCCAGTTTTCCTAATCCTTGAGCAAATGCTGAGATGTCCCCTTGTTTTGCTTCTGGATATAAATGTAACTTCAATTTAACTTTTCAAATCATACGTTGACTTTCATAAAGAATGGCAGATCCAGTTCCCGAAAACGAAATGTCTTCGAGAAATTTGCGTTTAGAAATCACTTCGCTCCAAATTCAAACCGACCGCTGGGACACCAGAAAGCGGCGTCTACTGCTGAGGGGACATTTCTTCGTTTCTCCGTCTATTCGGTGAAACTGTCGAGTGCATAGTAACAAGTGTCTGTTTTATTCAATGTATTAAATGCGCATACATAAAATCCAGTTTTGGCCTAAATAATTACGGTACTCGATGACGTAAACACGATCAAATATTTATGGAAATTTTTGTTTAATTAACTAAATATTTCATTAATTCCATGAAAAATCTTTGATTATCGCTGTCTTTATAACATGTGTACAACTAAAAGTCCACAACAGCCAATTACAACTCAGAGAACTGATCGAAATCGTTTAATTATGCATCTACAATACAGACATTTCCAGACTGCCATGAAACATTAACAAAAATGTACATCACATATTGCGTACATTAAAAACATTCAATGAACGTTTGAAACAAAATTATAAACGAATAATTATTACTACTTCTTAGACTGACTTAGACTCAATCATCCTAACTCAGAAGTTAAGTTGATATATATATATATATATATATATATATATATATATATATATATATATTGCACAGATATATCACCTATGTGACGGCCCAGAGAGAGCTGTTGTTTTGTCAAAACTCCTTACTTTGTTTGGAAAATCAAGTAAATTGTTTATAATTTAAAATATCAATATTCTCGTTTTTACGCCACGTCTTCAACACAAACAAGTATGACCATAAGCATGTTGATATGACACTAGCTAATGGAACAATATAAAATATTTAACATGAACAAATGTGTTATATGTAAAACAGTTGGTCTTATCATATCACAAATATTAAAAATGTAATCGTCAGTTGTATTTAGTTGCTAGAAAGCACAACAGCAAAACGTCTGAGTCCGAACTAAATCGTCTTTCTCTTATCCAACATTAACACTTGTTTTTCTCTCATACATGCTCTTACTTTGCGTAAGAAGTAATGCTTTCATGGCTTTTTGTCAGTTTTTCTAATATTTCAACCGGAATACTTTGATATTTTCCATTTTCAAATGTAGTTATCAACCAATTATTCACTAAAACACTAAGGTGATCATAAATGTACACTGCTAAGCCTACTAAAATAGGTCTTGTTCAAAACCAATATGACATTATCAGATATTACCTATAATACCTACCCCTAATGGTAAAAATATGATTGAATTTCTCAAAATTAAACGGAAATTTGATGAAAACGAAAAAAAATATTGAACGTAACACGTGGATAAAGTGGTATAATGGCACACGTGGTAAATAAGAAAACTCGCTCCTACCGTCGCTCGTTTTCTTGAACATACCATTCATGCAATTACACCCCTCTTTATTTACTTTCGTTAATTACTATAA